GGACAGGGAACTTGGGAGAACTGGAGGCAGCAAACTGGGCACCGTCTTTTGTTTTCAAGGTACTCCCTTCTCCATCAGAGTCGCCCAAAAAAGTAGCTGACACACCCTTGTGTCTTGATAGTGTCTATTCTTCACCCTCCGTTTGAAGCTTCATTTGCAGAAAAGAAGAGGGATTCTGGAAGCTGATTGTGGCCTCCAAAACCCTCAAATTCTCTGCGGCTAATTTACTTCCCCCGGGAGTAGTAGTAGTAGTAGTAGCTGAAAATCTTCACGGTATATACTATTTGTTTCTTATTAAAAAATCATTTTTTCAACATTTTTTCATATCAACTCAAAATAGATAGCCTTAAAAAAATCGTTAAATCGTTAATTCGTTAAGTTTGATCTTTTGAATAAGTATTTTTTTTATACAAAAAAGACCAACTTAATTATTAATGATTTAATGATTTCAAGCCAGTAAAACGAAATGCTCTAAGTGCGGTGTATCGATTTTAAAAAACCTTTGATGTTTGGAGTTTTTCCTCTAGTTCAAGTTCTGTACAGGAGCTTAGCTGCCAACCAAACCAAAGACCTGAAAGGTTTAGAAACCTGGAGATCAGCTTTCTTAGTTTCACTAAGTTTCACTCAGGCCATGCGCGAAGGAGACGAGTCGAATGATCAGACTGCTATTCTGCATGATAGCGCGTTGCACATCTGCTGGGTTCGTTTACTTAGCTGTTAAGGAACTTGCTTGAAATGCGCTCAACTGCTCTCTCTGCCGAGGGAGCCTCGTCAGGCGCCGAAAGGCTCACCTGAATGCAATGACCTCTTTTGGCATGCTGCCCGCCATAGGCCACAGCCCGTTCCTGTGTTCGCAATTGCTTGGAACTTTTGTGACCTGGACCAAGCTGTTTTCCAAGGCCTGACCTACATTGCTCGTTGGACAGTGAACGTCGACTCTTTGCACTCCTTGGGAACTTTTCCGGCATAGCTCACAGTAATAAGCTGCAAAAGAGCTTGAGCACTTGTGTCAGCAAGTGCTTATGATTCGGCCTGTCAGCCTACAGGCCTGTTGAACAATGCCTCTTCGCCTGAATAGTTACAGCAGCTCCAACTTGAATTCGTGGCCGAAGTAGCAGATTGCCGCAGTTCCCCAGTCACCATGTCTCACCATTGATGTACAGAGACGAAACTCCGCTGATCTCGCTCCTTTCTTGGGTTTGGTTTGTTGGGTTGTTTGTTTGGGGCTTTTGGGTCGTGTTTTGGTTTGGTGTTTCTCCTGTTTCTGTTTTTCTGAGTATGCGGAGTTTCAACCATTAGCAAAGATGACCTGTGCATACCGCACACACGGCGTCTCCACTCGTGCAAAAAAGGTTGGCTGACACAACGCAGAAGCGAGCGTCCGCCTTGGGTGCTTTGTGCGTGTCAAGGGGACGGAAGGAAAGATCTTCTTCACTTCGACCAGGCAATGGGATTGCACCGTGCCGATGTGTGGCAGCAAATCCTCCTGGCAATGCTGCGTAGCCATTCAACGGCGCGATGTCGTTTGCAGGGCATCGCGCAGCATGTTGTCGTGTGGCGCTCCCAGCTTGTGTCGTTTGACGATCTGCCAGAGGCCGAATCGCAAAAGTGGGAGGAGGTCATTTCTTCATCCGTGTGCGGCGAGTCAATCATGAGAGGAGAAGGGTTCGCGTCGTAGACCGCTTGTCGTGCCGTTGCCTATAGTCCTCGGAAACACAGACTTGAGTGCGTTCCCAAACCAAATCAGGGTGATTGCGTTGCAAATGCCAATATAAGCACAAACATGATCTAATTCTTTACTAGATGTAGCATCTACAATGAGATGGTGGAGGTAGTGTTGTTCAGGTTGAGGGAGAAGATGTAAGCAGTGGATCCCTTGCAGGACGGAAGCTGCCAGGTGAAGATGATTTATGGATGGCAAGTCAGTCTGCGTTGGTTCGTATCCGTGAGAGCTGGTTAGCAGTTGGGTTGGATTGTGTCTAGGTTTGAATGTTTTGGCAATTCTTTAGTTAAAGGTTTTCAAGTGTCTTGTTTAAGCTTGCTTTATATAGTGGCAACTCCAATACATGACAGCATTGTGGTTCGGAATAATTTCAACGACAATAGCTGAGAGGATGACCCAACTATCGTTCTGGAGGAGTTATAGTAATTCATAAACCTGAAGAAAACACGGCCGGTACGGTTTTGCTGTACTGACTTCGTTGATCCTGGAATCACTGCAGTTCTTTAACAGCCTTTTGGGAACCGACCACCTGCTTTTCCACGTAACCCTTCGTGGATGCTGCCTCAGGAAGTGGACAGACCATCGAATTGTTGATTGAAAAGAACAATGCGTGAATTCTTGCTCCAAAGGGAGAATGTATCAAATACCGGACGGCGAGTCCGGGGCGGTGGGGCAAAAGCAAGTTCGGCTGTGTCTGTGTAGTGATTGTTTTGAACAAGGTATTGGATAAGTTGGTAGGTGAGGACGCGGGGACTGGCTTGTTGGCAGTTAGGGGCAGTTTCCAAAAGCTTTGCAGAAGATTGGGAAAGAACGCAGTATTTGATGTAGGACTTCTCTCTGGCTCGGGCAGCCTGGAACTGAGCCTTTGGAAGCGCAATCTTGAAGTTACACATACATCGGTCGATCTGATGGATCGGTTGTACGATCTGGTTTTGTGCTAATGAGGGGTAGGACGGTTCGGTTTGAAATCCCAGCAGCAGAGCTGTGTTGTGAGAGTTGGAAGGTTCGGTGTGACGCGAAGTGTGGCTATGTTGAAGACGAGATGGAGTTGTAGAGACTCTATCTGATCCTATTCGCAGCGACTTTTATGTCGGTCAGTGGTGACCGGTTGCTTACATGTGCATGTGTATACACAGCCTAGATATTGAGTTTATGGGTTGTATCGGGGACTAGTCTGGTGGTTGGTTGGGCACCACAAGTTGCTATCAAAAGGAGGGGTCGTGTAGATAGCAACTTTGTT